TCAGATGGGTAGATTGCAAAAATTTTTTCCCATTCTGTTGGTTGCCGGTTTGTTCTATGATTGTTTCTTTTGCTATACAGAAGCTCTGGAGTTTAATTAGATCCCATTTGTCTATCCTGGCTTTTACTGCCATTGCTCTTGGTGTTTTAGTCATGAAGTCCTCGCCTGTGCCTATGTCCTGGATGGTTTTACCTACGTTTTCTTCTACTGTTTTTTATGGTGTTAGGTTTTATGTTTAAATCTTTGATCCATCTGGAGTTAATTTTAGTGTAAGGTGACAGGTAGTGGTACAGTTTCTGCTTTCTGTACATTGCTAGCCAGTTTTCCCAACACCATTTATTAAACATGGAGTCCTTTCCCCATTGCTTGGTTTTGCTGGGTTTGTCAAAGATCAGATGGTTGTAGACATGTGGTATTTCTTCTGGAGTCTCTGTTCTGTTCCATTGGTCCATGTCTCTGTTTTGGTACCAGTACCATGCTGTTTTGATTAATGTAGCCTTGTAGTATAGTTTGAAGTCTGGCAGTGTGATGCCTCCGGCTTTGTTCTTTTTGCTTAGGATTGTCTTGGCTATGCAGGGTCTTCTGTGATTCCATATGACGTTTAAAGTGGTTTTTTCCAGTTCTGTGAAGAAGGTCATTGGTAGCCTGATGGGGATAGCATTGAATGTATGGATTGCTTTGGAAGTATGGTCATTTTCACAATGACCATACTTCTTGTGAAAGTATGGTCTTGTGAAAGTATGATAAGCTTCTTGATGTACTATTGCAATCTGTTTGCCAGTATTTTATTGAAGATTTTTGTGTCGATGTTTATCATGGATATTGGCCTGAAGTTTTCTTTTTTAGTTGAGTCTCTGCCTGGTTTTGGTATCAGGATGATGTTGGTCTCATAAAATGAGTTAGGGAGGATTCCCTCCTTTTGTATTGGTTTGATACAGTTTCAGAAGGAATGGAACCAGCTGCTCTGTGTACGTCTGGTAGAATTTGGCTGTGAACCCATCTGGACCTGGACTTTTTTTAGTTGGTAGGCTATTGATTGCTGCCTCTATTTCAGCCCTTGTTATTGGTCTATTCAGGGTTTCAGCCTCCTCTTGGTTTAGTTTTGGTATAGTATAAGTGTCTAGGAATTTATCCATTTCTTCCTGGTTTACTGGTTTATGTGAGTAGAGCTTTTTGTAGTAATCTCTGATGGTAGTTTGTGTTTCTGTGGGATCATTGGTGATATCCCCTTTATCGTTTTTTATTGCATCTATTTGATTCTTCTCCCTTTTCTTTTTTATTAATCTGGATAGCCATCTGTCTATTTTGTTCATCTTTTCAAAAAACCAGCTCCTGGATTTATTGATTTTTTTGAAGGGTTTTTTGTGTCTCTACTTCAGTTCTGCCCTGATCTTAGTTATCTCTTGTCTTCTGCTAGCTTTTGAGTTTTTTTTTTTTCTTTTTTTTTATCTTGCTCCTCTAGTTCTTTCAATTTTGATGATAGGGTGTCGATTTTAGATCTTTTCTCTCTTCTCCGGTGGGCATTTGTTGCTATAAATTTCCCTCTCTATGCTGCTTTAAAGGTGACCCAGAGATTCTTGTAAGTTGTGTCTTCATTCTGGTTGGTTTCAAAGAACATCTTTATTTCTGCCTTCATTTCATTGTTTATCCAGTCAACATTCAGAAGCAAGTTGTTCAGTTTCTAAGTGGTTGTGTGGGTTTGAGTGTGTTTCTTTATCCTGAGTTCTAGTCTGATTGTGCTGTGGTCTGATAGACTGTTATGATTTCTGTTCTTTTGCATTTGCTGAGGAGTGATTTGCTTCCAATAATGTGCTCAATTTTAGAGTAAGTGCAACATGGTGCTGAGAAAAATGTATATTCTGTGGATTTGGGATGGAGTGTTCTGTATATGTCTATTAGATCCGCTTGGTCCAGCTCTGCATTCAAGTCCTGGATATCCTTGTTAATTTTCTGTCTCATTGATCTGTCTAATATTGACAGTGGAGTATTGAAGTCTCCCACTATTATTGTGTGGGAGTCTAAATCTCATTTTAGGTCGTTAAGAACTTGCTTTATGTATCTAGGTGCTGCTGTGTTGGGGGGGGGCGTATATATTTAGGATAGTTAACTCTTCCTGTTGGATTGATCCATTTACCATTATGTAATGTCCTTCTTTGTCTCTTTTGATCTTTGTTGGTTTGAAGTCCATTTTACCAGAGACTAGGATTGCAACCCCTACTTTTTTTTGTTCTCCATTTGCTTGGTAAATCTTCTTCCATCCCTTTATTTTGAGCCTATGTGTGTCTCTGTATGTGAGTTGGGTTTCTTGAATACAGCAAACCGATGGGTTCTGACTTTTTATCCAGTTTGCCAGTCTGTGTCTTTTGATTGGGGTGTTTGGGCCATTTACATTTAGGGTTAATATTGTTATGGGTGAATTTGATCCTGCCATTTTGTTACTGGCTGGTTTTCTTTCTCATTAATTGACTCATTTTCTTCATTGCATTTTTGGTCTTTGCCAACTGGTTTGCTTTTGCTGTGACTGGTAATTGTTCCTTTCCATGCTTAATGTTTCTTTCAGGAGCTCTTGTAGGGCAGGTCTGGTGGTGACAAGATCTCTCAATAATTGCTTGTCTGTAAAGGATTTTATTTCTCCTTCACTTATGAAGCTTAGTTTGGCTGGATATGAGATTCTGGGTTGAAAGTTCTTTTCTTTAAGGATGTTGAATATTGGCCCCTACTCTCTTCTGGCTTGTAGGGTTTCTGCCAAGAGATCTGCTGTGAGTCTGATTGGCTTCCCTCTGTGGGTGACCTGACCTTTCTCTCTGGCTGCCCTTAGCATTTTTTCCTTCATTTCAACCCTGGTGAATCTGATGATTGTGTGCCTTGGGGTTGCTCTTCTTGAGGAATATCTTTGTGGACTTCTCTATATTTCTTGAATGTGAAATGTGGACTGCCTTGCTAGGCTTGGGAATTTCTCCTGGATAATATCCTGGCGTGTGTTTTCCAGCTTGGATTCATTCTCCCCATCGTATTCAGGTACACTGATCAAGCGTAGATTAGGTTTTTTCACATAATCCCGTATTTCTTTGAGGCTTTGTTCATTTCTTTTCACTCTTTTTTCTCTTGTATTGCCTTCTCTTTTTATTTCATTGAGTTGATCTTTAATCTCTGATATCCTTTCTTCTGCTTAATCGATTTGGCTATTAAAACTTGTGTTTGATTCACGTAGTTCTCGTGCCGTGTTTTTCAACTCCATCAAGGCGTTTATGTTCTTCTCTAAGCTGGTTATTTTAGTTAGCATTTTGTCTAACCTTTTTTCAAGGTTTTTGATTTCTTTGCATTGAGTTAGAATGTGTTCCTTTAGCTCTGAAAAGTTTGTTATTATCCACCTTCTGAATCCTGTTTCCGTCAATTCTTCACACTCCTTCTCGGTCAGGTTGTGATCCTATGTTGTTGAGGAGTTGTGATCCTTTGAAGGAGAAGCAATGTTCTGGTCTTTGATGGTTTCACCTTTTTTTGTGCTGTTTTTTTCCCATCTTTGTGAATTTACCTGGCTGTGGTGTCAGAGAGCTGCTTGATGAGGTTGCTTGTCTGACTGTGGGGATGCTACTGGGTTTCTAGGGACCCCTTTAGGTTACTAGGGAAGCTTCCTGTGTCTTTTTTGTTTATGCTGGGAGATTAGGCCCACCTCTTCTGCTGACCTGTAGGCCCTGCTGTGTTGTCAAGAACGCTGTCCAGTCCCGTTGCTACGTATGCTTCATGTGTTTTTTGTTAAAACATGTAGCCCAGTCCCACCCCTCTAGTGGTGGGTTGTGCCTTTCCTCCACTGGGCCAGATCATTCAGGTTTCATCTCAGACTGTGGCACTGGCTACGCAACCCACTAGAGTCAGAGCTTCAGCCCTCTAGGGTTTGTAGGGGTGGGTAGGGACCTGCCTAGCTGCACCCGGCCTTCTCCCCCTTTCAGCTTCCTCTCTCTCCAGTCGTGGTGTAGGGGCCACCCAGCTGCTCAGGCTTACAGCTCCCTCTCTCTCCGGGCAGGGGGAGGGGGCGATAGCTCAGCCTGCTGACTCTTATTCAACTTCACACTTGTAATTCCCTGCGCTTGACTGGCAAAAATTCCCTGTTCTGTGTATTGCTGAGGCTTTGGGGGAAGCATTGTATCTGGACCGCAGCACCAGAGGTGGTGCCTCTGACTCACCAGTCAGATGCACTTTCTGGGTGAAGCAGCACTCCTCCCCTCCTTGGTCTGCCTTGAGTGGGCTTTACTCACCCTCGGACCAGACCCATTGAAATGCTCCTGGTACCTCAGTTGGAGCTAGGAGATTTCTGGGTTTCTGCTTCTCTCTCACTGGGTGTTGTGCACTGGAGTTGTGTCTAATCCGCCATCTTGGATCCTCCTCTCGATACTACCTTTACTGTTTTTTTTTTTTTTTTTTTTTTTTTAATTTCCTATTTTTTTCCCCTGGAGGATGGCACATTATTGATTATTGTTTATTTTCACCTAGTTTTGGCTCAGGGTGTCTTCAGTAGCAAAGACTCTGTATGAGTTCCTTGGTTGTAGAGAAACTTTAGCCTTCTCAGACACTGGTTTTAAGAATGGTGTACTAAGTGCCGGAGTAGGTTCACTGTCTCTTGTGAGTTGGAATATCTGAGGTTTTATGAAGCTTAACTTATTCCCTAGTGGTGTACACCTAAAAATATTTTTTCCCCCTACTATCTTATTCACTGCTTTGAAGAGTTCAGGCATCGAATCAGTAGGAGGTGCACATGCATAAAAGCTGACTGTGGCTAAACAGGTAGGTAAATGCAATGCTCCAATGATGGGCAAGAGGTCCCAGCCTTAAAAGAGGTGGCTGGGGAGTTCTCAGCGAAATGCTCTGAGATCTTTTCAGGAGAAAGGGAGGGAGTCACCACAGCTTTCCATTAGGCCAGCAGCAAAGTGTTTCACCTCCAAGGCACACTCCTGATGCAGTGTTCCAGCTATTCAGATCAGACAGACACCTCTTTTCATCTCCAGGAATGCTGATGTTCTGTGTAGACAGGGATTGTCACTCTACCTCTTGTCTAAGCATCAACCTGGGGGGACTCCTGTGAGAATACAGTATGAAAGGCTGTCTACAGATGTACCCATGGTGGGTTACCATGGGAGAACCCCTAACTGTGTTTGCAATGGTGAGTGAGGGAAAGAAGTCTCCTTCTCCAATTCTCTTTGTGAGCCTCAGGGCTGTCTGACTGTTGGGATAGAGCTGTAGACTTTCCCTACTGGACCCAGCATTGCACTTGTGCCTCTGCTGAAAGAAACTTCCCACAAATGGAAAGCTCAGGGACTCGAGGTTCCGTGGGGTGCTCTCTTAATGTGGTACACTCCCTCTTCCCCAATGAGTAGAAGTCTGCTGGGTACATTGTGGACCCCATGGTGGTGACTGAGCAACCCCAAGCTTCTGGAGGAATTGGTAAAACCCGAGCTATCTGATATAAGAAGAAGAAATTGTTGTTGATTTTTAACCTATAAATTCTCTTAGAATTTTGTTTCCCTAAAATGAGTTATTTGCTTTGTGATGCTTGTTGTTTACTGTGTTGAACATGTATGAGAAAATGAAGAATAATATGAAAAGCTGAGCTGTAACTTGTAACTTTGGTTCTGCTGAGCTGTTCTTATAGAAACAGGAACTCTGTGTAAGAGACAAACCACATAACATGACTGCTGGAGAGAGATAACAGCACGTAATAAGCTTCTCATTGCAGAGAGCCTATAAACGGACGTGTAATGGAGAGGCTTATTACCTTGATTCCTTTCCCAGGAAAGACATATTGATTATGGCCCTGGAAAGAGAATGTGACTCTTAAGGAGAGCCTATAAACGGATGTATGAGGGGCGTCTGTCATGAGGAAAAACCTCTGTGGTAGAGACAAGGATGTAAGTCTTTCTTCTCCCACTGCTCCTCCAGTCCTGCATGGGGGTCTCCCCCCTCTTGCAGTTTTGTGGTCAGGCTGGTTGTCTTGTGTCAGATCCTGTTCCCCATGCAGCTGTGAGCCTAATGCTTTTCTTGCTGATGATTTTAAGTTTATGTTTAACCTCTATTCTTGCTAAGGTTTATGGTTTCTATGCTGACATTGTGATCTTTGTGTACCAGTTTTGCAAATGTATTCCTTTTGTATGATCATTACCATACTGTTGTGTAGCCTCACTCACCTCCCCTATTGAAAGAGCTTAACAAAAAACTGAGGTTTCAGGGGAATTTTAGACATCCATGGAGTGGCTTTATGTAGTGTCTCCCGTGGGCCCAGCTTTGAAGAAAACTGTTGTCTTTTTTTTTCTTTTTCGCTGACCACTCAATCACTTTGAGAGATCTTGAATCCACTTTGATATATTGGGAGCTGGTCTTTGAATAGAAGTTCGTGAGAAAACTACTGTGAGTCCTGCTGCTGCCATGGATATAGTTGCCCAGTGGAGCTGCCATACTCCAGGCTGGTTCTAGGAAATGTCTGCAAGAAATCGAGTGATATGACCTATTCTCAAGTCTTCCAGCAGTCAGTACCAACATCAACTCTGATGGGAGTGGAAGGGGAGTGACATAGACTCTTAGATTTCTATGGTTATAAATAGTTTTGATGTGTTCGCTTTTTGAAATGTCAGCTGCAGTAGTAATGTACTGAGCACATGAACAGGCTCAGGAGCTCCTGGTTACCCAAGCTGATGCAAGCAATGATGATGGCTCAGGTTGAGCAAAAGTTTTCTTTCCTGAATGCTGTTATTGTGCCTGCAGATGTTGTAATGGGCTGTGCCAGCTGGCCTCTAGCCAGAAGGTGACACTTACAAAAGAGCACCAGCTGCATGGGTAGTGGTGGAATCTGTGCTTGCCTTATGTTACTCAGGGGAGGTCCCCTGGTGCCTCAGGTAGTGGAAGGTGCCATGGAGCTCCCAAAGATCCTTATTCCTTGTTACACTACCAGGGCCTCTTGTGTTACAGTACCAGGACAGGTAGTAGGGCAAAGCCAGGTGGGGGCTGGGTCAGGTAGTTCCATCCTCTGGCTTCCTATATACAGGTGCAAGCAGTAGCTCCATTGAAGATGGGGGAAGAGTTTCCTGTCTGCTGGAGTGGTGTTCTAGGGAAGAGCGCAGCTGCCTCTGCTACACAAAAGAATCTGCATGTTGTGTGAGAGGTTAGCAGTTGCCAGTGAGCCCCACTCAACTCCCCCATACTTGGCAAGGAAGGTCTCTCACACACGGTGTTCTGCTAGGAGCAGCTAGCTGAGTCCCAGGCATTCTGCACTCAGAACACAGAACTGCCCCCAGGCCACAAACCTTTTTGCTGGAGACAGAAACTGTGGCTTTCAGGTCATGTTTTTCCCAGTCCACCCATGAAGCAGGGCTTTTCAGCTTTTGCATCCACGACAATAGCACATTTCCTGCTCAGTTCTGGCCAATGGAGTTCATCCCCTCTACAGCTTATATCACAAATCTAAGTTGGGAGCTTCTCTCAATCTATGACCACCACGTGAGTTAGCTAGCAGACTTTCACAAGTTCCCCTGTGTAGTAGGATCAGGAATGACTTCCCTCCATGCCCACTGGAGTCTCTGAGTACACACAAAGCATCCTTCTCATACAGTCTAGACTGCTCACTAAATCAGCTCCAGCACTGGGTAGGGTTATGGCCTTTCTCTGTGACATGGATTTCCTGACCCTCGCATGGGAGCCTATGTCACAGTGGCAGTCTGTCCCTAATCTCATGCTCTGGAGACTTAGTTTTCTCTCTGGTGAATGCTGTAGGTTCTTTCAAAGGCTCTATTGTTTTAAATGAAACTTTTCTGTTAAGTTCCTTTGTTGCTTCTTGGAAAAAAGTTTGCAGTGTGAATTATTTTGTCTTTCCAAGTGAGAGATGCATGCTAGCAATGCCTACAATCTGCCATCTTCTACAGACAGTTTCAAAAGATTACTTTCATTTTTCATTCTTTGCTCTTAGTCGACAACTACAATTTTTTAATATTTTTAAATGTCTTCAAATACCTCAAGTAGTAACAGAAACTAATGATCCTAGTTTAATTAATTTTTAAATTATTTATAGGATGTTCATAAGTAGTTTGATGAGATTATAATTGTGTATATCAACTCCACAAATTCCACAAGTCACTGTTATAAATTAGTTTATTCCCTAATTTTTCAGTGAAAATTCAAAATTACCGTGGAAAGTTAAAATATACCACATATACTGTTTAACTATCTGTAAATGCCAGAGTGACTTTTGCCATACAAATGGAATTACACATTAATAACTGCAAGGATAAAAATCAAAGTTTATGATTGACATACAATGTCTTCAAATTGTCAATGTTAAAGGTTTCTGATGTCATTTCTTCATGAGCAGATCTTCTGAGATTTGAGTAAGTATCTTTACGAGTACTTTTTTCTACCTTATTTGACTTGTCAAATACGTCAAAATATGATTGACTGGCATGCCAGCAATGAATGGATAAGATGCCACACCTAGATGTCTGTGGCAGAGTCTTCTTACTACAATGAATATATTGTTTGACAAATGGAAATGCATAGTATATTTTTAAATTTCTTTAGTTTTCCTTCATCTGTTGACTCAGTATTCATGTTTTATTTTGTGGATTTCAGATTCACAGAGATACATTAGTTTCACTTTTTAAATTTTCAGAGTCTATTGACTTGAGTATAAATAAAATTATGATATAAAATAGTATGGAAATGAGTAACATTATAAAAGTTGTTTCAGTCATCTTAAAATATTTTTCAGTGAAACATTTGGGGCAGTATTTTCAGTGAACTATTCATACTTTAGAATATGCTATACATTATGTTAAATAAGGGAAGTGAAATACTGGAAGCAAATTCTAATGAACTTTCTGAATTATAACTTAGAAACAGACAAAACAACACCACAAACATTTTTAATGTATTTTTAAAAAGATCGATTATATATTGTATATATTTAAGATAGATAATTCTTAAGGTTTTAAAGGCATATACAAATAAATGCCTATTATATATGTATATGTATATTCAATGTTTGTTCATTTTGTTTCTCTAGATCCTTATTTTCTTATTTAGTTAAAAAGAATTTTAGTTAAAACATGCACTATACATATACATATATGCATATTATATATGTATATGCATTTAAAATCTTGATAATTATCTCTCTTAAAATTCTTTTTAACTAAATGAGAAAACAGAGTTCTAGAGAGATAAAATAATTTGCCCAAAATCACTCAGTCACCTAGTTAGTAAAGTCTTCAGGTTGTTGCTTTAAATTGTTTTTTTTAAATCTCCAAATCCTGTTTTCTTTCTACTAGTAAATTGAGTCGATCCCTAAACTGATTAATGTCATAATGTGCTTTTTTTACACAAAAGACTAAATAAATATTAATCATTCTGCTAATTTTAACTAAGGAAATCCTATATAATATCACCGTATTTATCAAGCCACATAGGTATAAATATGACACTTGTGAATTGAAAATAGTTGAACAAGGAAAGGAGCCTGTGTGTGTTTGTGTATGTTAGTTATGCATTGTTCCAAAACAACTACAGTACTCCAAATCATAGTAGCTTAAAACAATTTACAATGTATTAAGCCTCACAAATCATCAGTTTAATTGGATGTTTCCTTTTCTGTTTTTACCTGTGCTCCTTCATGCTGCTAAGTCCAGCTAAGGGGTTGGATGGAGGTTCAACTGTAACGCCTAGATGTCTGGGCCTCTCTCCATGTGTTTTTTATTCTCAAGGAGACTAGATTAGTCTGGCCTTCCTCACATGTGATGTTTGCATTTCTAAGAGAGTGCATGGTTTCATGACTATAGCTCAGAAGTTCCCATTGTCATTTCTGACATGTTCCATTGGTGAAAGCAAGACTCAAGACCAGATTCAAAGAGGTAGACAAATACAATTCATCTCTCAATGGAAAGAGTAGAAATGGCACATTGTACTAGGGTTTTCAAACCAGGCCATGATTGCAACAATCATATTTACTTTAAAGTATGAATTCAAATATATTAATAAAACTGTATTTCAAAATGAGTTTTATGAAGTAAAGTTTTTAATACATATTATGCAATTTCCTCTTTTTGTCTCATTATGAGATGCCTTTAGCAATTAAATTTGGTTCTTTGTTATTCTCTTTCCTTCTTCTTTGGAACACCTTTTAAATATATATTACTTACTTGGGAATTTATAAATCTGTTTTACAGTGTCAGTTAATGTCACTGCATCAAACTCTAAATATCTAAAACTAGACTTACCCATTCCTAATTCTCTGTCAATGCTACAACTCCTTTTCAGGTTCCCCCTCAATCAGTAATTCAGAATGGCATGTTTAAATGTTAGCAAATGAACATTTTTTTTCCCCAAAAGAAATCTTACACGAAATCTCAGTAAATAAAATTATAATCATGGTGATTAGTGAGTGTAAACTTATTTGTAAGATAACATTATTTATTATATTTCAGTCAATGAGAAAACTGAAGCAGTTTAGATAAAAATACTTGCAAACAAATCACAGTTGCTTTATATTGTCTTTTTGGTTTGTTTTGGTTGCATAGGAAAGGTAAAATCCTGATTCAAATGGGGAAACAGCTACAAATGCTAACTTGAAATATCAAGATATTTTTTAACCTGAAATAAATGCCTATAACAAATGTAATGGTAAAGTATATGCTTCAAAGTAGAATTCCTATCAAGAACAAAACTACTGGTAATCTTTATAATTAATCTGAAAGATAAGCAGTACCTCAAAGTCTGAATAATAAAAAAATAGGACACTGTTTTCATGACAGGGCTTGTATTCATTTATAATTGATAACTATTTACTGACCTAGATGTAGATAATCCTGAGTCTTGGTTAGAAGTCATTCCACTAACTTTCGTGGATACATTAGTCATCAGAAGTAACCAAGAAAATATTTTCTTATCTGTTTTGTACTCAGGCAAAGGGTATGCTATGACAGATTTATTTAATTGTACAGCTATTTCAATTTTAACAATGTGGACACACACAAGTCTATGTGTACACACAGGAAATATTCTTTCTTAGCCTGTATCAAAGGTAGCAGCTTCTTAACCCAGGATAAAATCCCCCAGACATACCATATATAAAAATTGGGTGAGTAAAGACTTTGCTTAGTCTCTACTACCAGTTGGAGCCAAATCAAACTCATAGGTTTCGTGTAAAAATCTATACATCTGGCTCCTTAATAACTGTCTAACGTCATATTTCACCCTTTCAAATTCACCACACTTTTTTTGTAATCTGTCATGTAGAGCAGGTTAGTTTCCATTCTATCCCCTACTCTGTTGTTTCTCCTGCTTATAATGTTCTCATATTTCCCTCTCAACAAAAAGTAAATATTTTGCATATGTATATATGTTTGTTTGTATTCACTATTTACTTATTTAATGTGTGGTTCAGAAAAGTTTCATCTTATATGGGAGAGTAAATTTTAAGGTCAAAATTACCCTTGAAAATTTCTTCATTTCTCATCATTGCTTCTAATCACATTTTATTTTATTTGCCAATATTGTGAAGTCATGCTTTTTGAAAAATGCCAAGCTACAAATGTAGAATAATTTTCACTCCAATGTTGTATTAATGTTGACAGAGGGATGAAATAAACAGAGTAACAACAATTTTCTACTCACATTGTACACACCTAGAATTCATGCTCATCAGGGAGACGACTAAGCGAATGAACAACATCACTTATACTATTTCTCTATCCTAGCGTACACATACAGATTAATTCAGTAATTTAATAAATGTACAATTTGATGTCACCATTATCTCCTTTCTCTATATATCATGTATCCTAAATAGCTAAATGATCATAGGGCTATAGCATGTTCTCTATCCAGTTTCTACAGAACATCAAGTGCAATACAAAACACAAAGTTCTCAGTAATAATTGAAGCATTGTTAAAGCAAGAATTAATTTAACATATCAACAATCTATCAAGAAGCTTGTATTTTGAATTTTAATAATATAAAAGTTGACCTTTTGAAATAAACTCAAGATCACCAAATATTACCTATAAACATAAATATTGGTTAAATGTGTAAACCAAATCTCAGAGTTGAAAATTAATGAATTACTAATGCCTTTTTATTAAGAAGCTTGGGGAGAAAAACCAATAAAACACCACATATTAAAAAAATATATATATGTATACATATATATTTGCTATATATGTGATCAATTGATTTTCAACACAAATGCAAAGACAATTTAATAGAGAAAGGAGAATCTTCAATAAATAGTGCTGGAACAATTATACATCCTTATGAAAAACAAATACCCTAAATCCTTACTTTCTGATTTACACAAAAATTACCTCAACATGAATTACAGAAGTAAAATTCCTTTGAGTCTTAACTTACAGAAAACATCAAAGACTATCTTTGTGACTTTGGATTAGTCAAATAATTCTTAGATAACACAGTAAAAGTGTGACTTATTAAAAAAAGAGAAGATAAATTTGGCCTTCATGTACACTAACAGCTTTTGCCTTTTGAAAAATATGTAACAGAATGAGTAAGTCATTGTTAAGGACAAAATATTTTGATGTTATATACTTAAAAAGGACATGTAGCAATAGTACATATAAAAACTCATTAAAGTTTAAATAAGAAAAACAAATTTAAAAGAAGCAAAATATTTTAGCAGACATTTCATCAAGGTAAAAATAAATATATATGGCAAGTAAACACATGAAAATATGTTTAATATCATTAGTCATTACCTAAGTGCAAATTAAAATTGCAATGACATACTACTACACATCTATTAAGAGTGTTACAATAAAATAAATAAATAAATATTTATACAAGCTGAAAAGAATGTATTTTGCTGGTGAGAATGCAAACTGGTACAGCCTATTTTGAAGTCAGCTTGTCACTTTCTTATAAAGTTCAATATATAGTTACCACATGACCAGATACCCAACTCCTGAATATTTATCCAAGTAAATGAAACAAGTTTACACAAAAATCTAAAGACTAACCATAAAGATTTTCAGTGACTTTTTTTCATAACCACAAAACTGTAAACAACCCACTTGTATGTAATGAAATAATCACAGCAATTAAACAAACTGTTGATATACAAAGTAATATAGATGAATCTTAGATGTAGTATGCTAAATGAAAGAAGCCAGACTCAAAAGGCCGCATGCTGTATTATTTCACTTATAAGAATGTTTGAGAAAGGCAAAACTATAGGAGCAAAACACTAAATGTTTACAGGTGTGTTTTTTTCTGAGACTTATCTTCTTGGCTTGTCCAGGACCATCTTCTCCCTGTCTTTGCTTGGCCTTTCCTCTGTGACCCAGTTCCTGGATGTCTCTCTTTGTGCTCAAATTTTCTCTTTGTATAAGCACACAAATTAGATTGGATTGGGGCACATGCTAACTTCCTCAGTTTAATTTACTCACCTCTATGAAGGAACTATCTCCAAATATTCTGAGGTACTGGAAGTAAAACCTTAATTGTATAAATTTGGGAGAAACACAGTTTAGCCCATAATAATGTGTTTGTCAAAAGTTACAGAATTTTTTAGATCAAGAATGTTGGAATGATTTCATTTGCATTACACCTTAATAATAAAAAATTTAAAGATCATAATCAACCCCATTGGAATTGAGTTGACCTGCAAAAACGTAGTTACATCCTGAAGGAAATACAGGACCTTTTCTACATGTACTAGGAGAAACTAGGAAGAGACATTAAGGCTCGATTCTTGGGACTACTGAAAAAGGTGACAATATAAATTTAATGTAAATTTACATAAAAGAGGGGAAAAATTGAGATAAGAGCATTGCAAAGATAAACAGGTTCTAAACAGCATAGTAAAACCCTGACAAATGATGAAAACTTGCTATTAGGATTCCTCCTGTATGTATCAATATAATTATTGTTATAATTTTATTATTATTGTTATAATTTAATTATGACATTCCTTGGCATGTTTTTTATTGATGTTTGTCCCTGGAGTTGTCTGAGTTGCTCAGATCTGTACCTTTGTATATGTCATGAGTCTAAGAATATATTCAGCCAATACCTAATGTCTCGTCAAAATTTTTTTTTTCTAACACAACTTTATTTTCTTCTGGTACCCCAATTACACATATAATTGATCTTTGAATATTATCATATAGGTCAGTGAGACTGGTTCTAATTTTTTTCAGCATTTTGTTTGTCTTTGCTTCAGTTTGTATAGTTTCTACTTTTTTACTCCTGATTCATTTTTCTTTTCCTCTATAGTTTTTAATTTAGTGTAAAGATTCTTCAGTATTTGTTTTAGATATTATGGTTTTTCAGTTTCATATTTTTCCAGTTTTTTTGTTATAATCTCCATTTCTCTATTGAGATTCCATAATTGTTTTGTTCTTATGATTAGGTGTTGCCTAAAAAACTTGAACTAATTTTTAATAGCTGTTATAGGACATCTGCTAATTCTGACAGATCCGTCATTTTTAGTAATGATTAATGTTTCTCCTGGTTATGGGTCTCATTAACTGCTTTTTGCATGTTTTTAATTTTTTTACTTTATATTGAGCATTACAAATATCATCTTGATTATTTGGATTTTGTTGTTTTCCTTAATAGAGAAATCTTTACTTGAGGGCTTCAGTAGACCTACCACTAAAATGTAGCTTCTCTGCTACCTATTGTCGTAAATAATAGCTGGCTAATTAGAATTAAAACATCTGTTCTGTGCAAGCTGAAACAGTTGTTCAGCTCATGACTTCCTAGTAGTTGCGCTTCCTCTAGCAGTCATTCTCTAGCCTTTGGGAGTGCCAGCTTACACATGTTCCACTTGGTATTCAGCCAAAGACTGAAGGCGATTCATGCAGATTTCTTAAACTACTTCTTCACACACATATATTCTCTCCTGTACACTGCTCTGAAAATTTCAGCTATCTCGGTAGCCTCAAATTCCCATCTTTTTTCTTCTCAACTAGTGACACCACTCTTGGGCTTCCTTTGTCTAGTCAGGAGCATGCATTCACACAGAAAACCAGTATAACCATGTGGCTAACCTATTTTGTTTACCTTCTCTCAGTGATTGTAGTCTTGTGACACCTATTATCCAATGTCTGGAGACAGTTCATGTATTTCCCAGTTTTGCAGGTATTTGTGGTGACAGACCAGGTCCAGTAGCAGTTATTTCTGATAGTAGAAAGTGAGTCATAAAACTGTACTCTACTACATAGATGTTGGTAACACAGCAGGGCAGAAGCTCCAACATTTAATATACATGTATCATAGTATCCACAGCAGGAGGATAAAATTGGAAATATTATCTAAAAATTGTCTCCAAAGTATACAAACTCCTTTTGCAGACAACAAGTTAACATTTCTAAGAAATACGTAGTTACAGGCATCATGAATATGTAAAAAGAATGAAGTTGCATGTTAATGTGTCCTTATTTAAGGCATAATCAGAATAAAAGCATTCTGCAGAAATTTAGACAGCAAAGAGTCAGGAATAAACAGGTTCAGATACTCAAGTTTGTGTATCCAAGTCTTATAGATACCATGGGCTTAGTTAGGCAGAGAAGCACATCAAGATGAGAGGTTAAGCATAAAAAATCTCAATGCAGATTTTACAACGCCAAGGAATGATCAATATAAGACACACCATGGCTTTTGTTGCCAATGCTTTTGGTCATGAAGTCCTTGCCTATGCCTATGTCCTGAATGGTTTTGCCTAGATTTTCTTCTAGGGTTTTTATGGTGTTAGGTCTT